GAGGAGTGGCTGGTGGGTTTGAACCACAAGCCTTCTGGTTAGCAGTCAAGTGCCTTAGCCACTATGCTACATATAACAAATATCTTTGTTTTCCCTCCTCTCTTATTCCATTACTTATCATAAAATATAAGATGCATAAAATAGGTTAGTGTGTTTTTGCTCATAAGCGTATAGTTGTATCATGTTAGGTGGATATATGACTCTGTATTTGCCTTTATTTGGACATTATGTATGGTTAAGGGTATGTTTATGGGTGCCAGATTGACAAGGGATGGACTGTGATGGTTAATTTTATGTGTCAAGTTGGCTAAACTATGGTTCCTAAAGATTTTGCCTAACACTAGTATAGTTGCCGTTGCATAATGAAATCTAGTATCATCATCTTCCATTGTGTAATCTAATGTAATATAATCACTCAATCATTTGAAAAAGGAGCTCTTCATGTTGTGATCTGCATTCAGAGAACAAAAAGATATTTTGGCAGAATTCGTTTTCTCTCTCTCTCTCTCTCTCTCTCTCAACCCTACGTTCTTTCTGTCATCTAATGTAACCCATGGATCTTGGAGTACATCACCTCACCTAACCTATGGACCTTGATAAACAAGCCTGTAGAAGTCTCACTGGTTGTGTTTCTCTAGAGAACCCTGACTAAAACAGGCTTGCAACAAAAATATCTCAAATCGTATACCAAGCATCACATGATTTATCTGCTCCTTGTTGCCTTCTAGTCTAGTTTCTTACCAAGGTCTCCCAATGCTCTTGGCATTATTTCCAATTTCCTCTGTGTCCTCTTTCTTCTGCTGCCCCTGCCTGGATGCACATTACAGTGCAGTGAGGTTAGCAGTTTCTCTTCTAAAATAACTTTATTAGACAAGGAGCCATAATCTCTTAAGCCAAACCCATTGCTTTTATGAAAGCAAACTCATTGCTTTTATGCATATTTATTAACATATTTATCATCATTTAAAAATGCTCACTGTGTTCCTACTGTGTGTGACTCTAACTCCATCTTCAAGTCCTAGTTTTGATGCTACTTCCTCTGCCCCTCAGATGATGTACTCCCCCTTAATGCCTTCACTGTCTCATATCAGAGCACCTATTACATTGCACGTGATTGTTTATTGCTTTGTTTTTATCCCCTACACTTATCCTTACCTGAGAGTTTCATGATGACAAGGACTATGCCCAGAACAAAGCTTAGTGACTCAGTAAATATGTGCTGAATAGTGTTAAATAAATAATTAACATAGACATAAATGTAATGAGTTCTGTGTCACTTAAAGAATTATAGCAGAGGTAGTATACACATCTAATAAGGATCTTTTAGAAAAGATGTTCCTTTATTTTTATGCAAACATGCTACATTGTAACTGCTGATTTACTTAGTTCATGTCTCTATTTGACTGTGAGCTCCTAGAGAATAGGAGCAAGGTTTTACTCATCTTCTATATCTCATAAAATGAGCATACAATATATGTTTGGAAAGCTTACAAAAAGTCTATTTTCTGGGAATGGACTCTTTATAGAACAAGAATGCTAGAGCACTCAAAAAAAAAAAAAAAAAAAGGCACTAATGTGACCCACTTGCTTTGCCAGGCCACTAAGAATACCTTTGGTAAATATTAGCTAATGTACAGCCTTTTGCTTGCTATTAAGATTTACTGATTTCAACAGAAAGGAGCTTAAAAACAGCATGTTTCATAATCTAAACCCCAGGGACTGTCTGTAATTGCCCAATAGTTCATAAAATGCATATTGGCTCTGTCTGTGGTTAGATTAAATGCAAAGTAGGATATGTGCATAATAAGTCTGGTGTGTGAGTGATGGGTTTGGTTAGAGGATGGATTTATTCTGTATTCTTGCATTATCTGGGTATTAATTCTTCTCACCATTTGATATATAAATCAACAGCAATGATTAACCTAGTACATGTAAAAAGTACCTTTAGTAAATGCCAGATTTACAGAATAAAATTAACAATAAAGGCTTCCTTTAAATCTCAGTTTCTTATATAACACTGACTGTTGTATAGAGAGATTAACATGGTGTCCTGTTTCTTCCTGGTGTGATCTTACTTTTATTTTGCAAATGCATAAATATTCTGTGTCTCTATATAAAGATTACAGGCTAGAAAACCCTTTGGGACAGTTCTACTCCATCACCTGAGGTCGAGATGAGTCAAAATCAACTCAATGGAACCTGACAAACAAAAACATATTCACCCATATGTTTTTGAGCACTTGGAAATTCAGTATCTCAGTGTGTTTCAGAGAATAGGCTGGAAGATAGTTTCTGGTCAAAAGTTATTAGGCATGACTTAGGAGAAAGAGCAAGAAAACTATAGAGCATGGCAAAAGGGAGGGGTGAAATGTTGGGGAACACAGTCCATGCCTGCTGTTCGGGGACCTTAACTATTGGTTTGTCATGTCTTAGCATGACGGTATTCAAGCCATGTCAGGGTTGGGGAAAAAAAAAAAGAAAAAAAAAAACCTAGCCAGTTTGGGGCTTGGTCTGAGAATAACCAATTGCCTTGGTTTAAATCACACAACTCTACTATCAAATTAAGAGTTTCCAAGCTAATACAAAATAGCATCGGTCCACTGACTAAAGTATAAAATAAATTAGGCTGGATCTAAAAGAAATCAGCCTGCATGCAGAAACCAACTCCCAACACCACTTCCTTGCTTTTCCCAGCTATGGAAGTTACAGGTCTGAAGGGGACTATGTTTTGGTAAGTGCAGACAATCTGGGGAAAGTGTTATTGACTGGTTGCTTTTGTTTCACCTCTTTTATATACAGGCAAGTATTATTTTGCTATTAATGCAGTCATGGAAATCCAAACTTAGCCAAGAGTTAACTGGGGACTTATTATCCACTCTAAAAAAATATATTCTTTATTCTTATATATGAAATTATTGTAAGAGAGACTGGAGGAGAAAAGTTGTGGGGAAGCAAATTTCATAAGTTGATATGCTAAAAAAAGCCATCTCTGAAATGATGATGTATGACAAAGAGAGTGTGAGATTCAATTGAAAAATATTGGTTTTATATTGAATTAGAATTAGAATTTTAGAATCATTTAACATAAGAGACTCTCTATAAAGAGCTTTTTAAACAGAATGAGCCTCCACATATCTGGGAAGGGCTATCCATCCTTGGTAGATGCATGTAAGATTAAGACACACATGGTTGAGGTAATAGGACAAATTGGGGAAGGAGGTACTATTTCCCCTTCTGTGTGCCTCACTTGGGACCAGCCCCTGAGTCCCCTTAGGGGACTTGAGGTCAACTCAGGTTGGGTGGGATAAGGGCAGGGCCCTCTGAGTGTGTGCATGGCTGTTTGCTTTCCTGGTAGTACTTTCTTTCTTTTTTTATATCTTTAGAACCTGCTCTCAAAATTTCAAATCACCACAGCTGTCTTCTACTTGGTATTGGCATCTTATGTTTTCACTTAGTTTAGGCCACGGACAAGACACTGTTGAATATCATGTTTGCTGAAAACTTATCACTAAGTTAGTTTCGCTTCCTAGTTTTTATGAATAAACACATTTTAGAAGGGAAATTTTGAAATCTATTTAAAAAATATATTTGCATTTAATTAAAAATATCACAAAGACATTGCTAAACATGGTGGGCACACCTTGAGTTTTCTTTGGCATAGAGGTGGAGGTAGCCTATGTTTATGACTCCTTGGTTTCATCATTGTTGGCCGTTTAGGGGAAAGTCCCTGCATTCTTCTTCTTCTTTTTTCTTTTTTTTGGTGTAAAAAAGAAGTCTCAGTAAAGTCATCAATAAGAAATGACTGATCAGATAGCACTTGAAGAGCTTAATTCATTCACTGAATTATTCCATTAATCTTTGCTAAATGTGTTGCAAGCATCTGTAGATTTTGCTAGCAGCTAGAAAAATACAAGTGAATAAAACATGTTCCTACCCTTAGGGAGCATTATTTGACTCCCTGTGTCCTTTTCTCAAGAGTACAGAAGGGAGTATGAAAGATTGATGGTGATCATCATACTATTCTTTTTGGGAATATGGGCAAATCATGGAGAGAGAGTAGAACAGCTTGTAGATCCATTGGCAAGCCTCTGACATTTTCTTGTAGGACTCATCCAAACAGTGTTGAGGAACTTTGTTCTAACTAGTGCCAAGTATTAAAAAAAAGGAACTTGACTACCTTCGTCTTAAAATGTTTTAGGCGAATCTACCATTATAATATAAAATTTGATAGGTAAGATGCAGTGTGGTAGAGGTTCCACTGGACTAGAAGCAGGATGCCTTATGCTCTAGTTGCCACCTGGCCACTGGTTACACAAAACCAATATCTGTTGCCATCGAGTGGATTCCAACTAACAGCAACTCTATGACAGAGAAGAACTGGCCCACAGGGTTTGTAATTTGTAAGGAAGCAGACTGCCATCTCTTTCTCCCAGGGAGCAGCTGGTGGGTTTAAAATACCAACTTTTCAGTTAAAGCTGAGCACTTTAACCACTGTGCCACCAGGACTCCTATGGCACTGGTTAGACACTTGATTTTGGGCAGTCTTTTATGTTTTCCAAGTCTTGGTTACCCCACCTGATAAATGACAGTATTGAATTAGATTGAAATTTCTCATAGAATATGAGGACTGACAACAGTATACAGAATGATTTAGGTGGTATATTGATGAGCATTTCTTTTTCCTAAGTTATTTATTTTATTATGTATTACCAAAATGTAAATAGTGCTCCAAGTTTGTATTCTCACAGGTAATAAGATTTAGCATAAAACTAAATTTATTTTCTTAAAAAAAAAGAGGAGGTGATTAAAGAAAGAATAATAAATAAATAATAAATAATAATATTCATCATAACTGGTTATCACAAACATTCTTTAAGGTTGTGTGAGACTAACTGAGGTCAAGAAACATTTGAATATATGATCTTTTAGGTTTCTTTCATTTCTAGTTCTTTAATTATTTTTCCTCTTTATATTTAAGCAATATAGTCTTCCAGTGGAAAATTTCTATTGGAAGTAGTATTTTGGTATCCAGAATGGACTTGGCAGCTAGCCAAAAGTATCAGCAATACATATATTTGAAAATTATCTTTTCATATGTAGTTAGGTATTTATGTGAGTCACCGAGTTCACTGCTGCTTTATTACCATATTTATTTTTCCTTTGATGTGTTTTCAGATTAGAGTGTTGACAGAAAGAATGTTCAAAAATCTTCGGAAATGGTTTGTCACTCGCTTTTTTGGGCATTCCCGGCAGAGGGCAAGGCTGGTCTCCAAAGATGGAAGGTGCAACATAGAGTTTGGCAATATGGAGGCACAATCAAGGTTTATATTCTTTGTGGACATTTGGACAACTGTGCTGGACCTCAAATGGAGGTACAAAATGACCATTTTTATCACTGCCTTCTTGGGGAGCTGGTTCCTCTTTGGTCTTATGTGGTATGTAGTAGCCTACATTCATAAAGATCTCCCAGAGTTTCATCCTTCTGTCAACCACACCCCATGTGTGGAGAACATCAATAGCTTGACTTCAGCTTTTCTGTTTTCTCTGGAAACTCAAGTTACCATTGGATATGGATTTAGGTGTGTGACAGAACAATGTGCCACTGCCATTTTTCTGCTTATCTTCCAGTCTATCCTTGGAGTCATCATCAATTCTTTCATGTGTGGTGCCATCTTAGCCAAGATCTCCAGACCCAAGAAACGTGCAAAGACCATTACCTTCAGCAAGAACGCAGTGATCAGCAAGCGAGGTGGGAAGCTCTGTCTCCTAATCCGAGTGGCTAATCTTAGGAAGAGCCTCCTTATTAGCAGCCACATATATGGAAAACTTTTGAAGACCACAGTCACTCCTGAGGGAGAGACCATTATTTTGGATCAGATCAATATCAACTTTGTGGTAGATGCTGGTAATGAAAATTTATTTTTCATCTCCCCACTTACAATTTACCATATCATTGATCACAACAGCCCTTTCTTCCACATGGCTGCAGAAACCCTTCCCCAGCAGGATTTTGAACTAGTGGTGTTTTTAGATGGTACAGTTGAATCGACCAGTGCTACCTGCCAAGTCCGAACATCCTATGTTCCAGAAGAGGTGCTTTGGGGCTACCGTTTTGTTCCCATAGTTTCCAAGACCAAGGAAGGGAAATACCGAGTAGATTTCCATAACTTTGGCAAGACAGTAGAAGTGGAGACCCCTCACTGTGCCATGTGCCTCTATAATGAGAAGGATGCTAGATTCAGGGTGAAGAGAGGCTATGACAATCCTAACTTCATCTTGTCAGAAGTCAATGAAACAGATGATACCAAAATGTAACTGTGCCTTTTCAACAAGAATTAAGCAAAGTTTCCAAGATGTCTAGTGACTTAGAAACATTGTGAAGTAACCAACAATTTGAAGACATGAGAGTAGAACAGAAGCCTTCAAAGTCTACCAGTATGATGGCCCCCTTATTCCCACTATTACTTTACAGGTAACCTTTAATACAGGTAACTGTATTAAAACATGTTATGAATTTGTATGAGGCTGGAATATGGAAGCCACAGGAGCTCACTTGAAATCTTGAATGTGATTATTTGAGATCATGCAATATTGATAAGAAAAGATAAAATTATTAAAAGTCTGATGTATGGGCCAAACAAGACCTTTTAAATCCTGTTGAAGAAGTTATGAGTTTAGATAGGAGCAGGAAAAAACAAACAAACAAACAAACAAAAAACCCATATTCTCATTTGAGTCTACTGATAGGAAAGAAGCTGCTTCCATTTTAAGATTGACTTTTATCAAGGGAAACATTACCCCTGACTTGAGGGAGATGAACAAACCAATTAAAGAAAATAGAAAAAAGAGAATAAGCAATCCAAGAACAATTGTGTGGTTCTAACCATCTCAAACTTTGGTGATTGGAGTCTTCATCTTATTTGGGGTGATGCTGTATTTTAGGAAGAGCAAAGAAGGCACAGGCTGTATAGAAAGCACTGAAGTCCACACCAGCTTTATGCATATCCGGCTACTCAGAAATGTATTTGTCCCAAGTTGTCTCATGCAGTATGTTTAGACAGAGGCTAACTTAGCACTCTAGCATCTCAAAGCACATTTTCTGCAAAACAGGATCATGGATTTGGAAAAGGTGATGAATATTAAAAATGGTGCTATATTGGAAGAGACTAGGAGCTACTGGTGGTGTAGTGCCTAAGGCATTTGACGGCTAACCAGAAGGCTGGAGGTTCATACTCACCAGCCTCTCTATGGGAAGAAGACTGGATAATCTACTTCTGTAAAGATTTACGGCCTTGGAAACCCAAAGGGGTCGCCATAAGTGGGAATCAACTTGATGGCAGTGAATTTGGTTTTTGAATTTAAGAGCTACATATCTGTTAAAAGAGCAACTCCTGCTTTTCTAAAAAAGCGATAAAGAAATTGAAGATGTCAAGTCAGTCTAGAAAGGAAAGTACCATGAATGTTTCTGAGAAAAAACATTTCTTGTGTTTCTCTGATGATGATGTATACTGCAATGCTCTTCCTAAAGGAGAAGTTGTGAAAGGAAAAAAAATGTGATGTGACTCCACAGTGAGGAAATGCTAGGTTTTCCTCTCTCTCTGAGGGCCAGTGCCTAAAAGGGATCCATGTAAAACAAGGATGTTCTTTTAGGGGAAGATTTTGATGTGAATGTCTTTAACTCCCCACCTACATTATTTTGAATGTATCCTGGGAAAGATGGTACTCAAAGCTGTTTAGGAATCAAATGTTTTCAGTGTGTTGATTAAGATAATTAAATTTCTGAAATTGCATGCACTTCAAAAGTGTCAGTAATTGTGTATTCATTGTGACAGACTGACTGGTGGAAATCCTCTTGCTTTGGGTGGACTTTCTCTTAGAAGAGGGCAGAGGAGGGGGAAGATGGCAGATAGTATACATTTGTTATCTTGACTGCAGCTTCTCAGGAGGAAGTGACGTAGGCTGCAGACACACCCTTTCCTGTACAGCTCTGTCAAATCACTCTAGTGTCAGTCTGGACGCATGGTGGCAGCTGTGGGCAGTTATTGATAGGGATGGCTTTGTTTCCCAGGCCTTGGGTTCAACTTATAAGAATCCATACAGGCACACTCTAGTCCTCGTGAAGTTCCGTGGGAAGTCTGAGGGATTTGGGGATACATGCTTTTCAGAGTCCATAACCAGTGGACGACCACTGGTCCACATGAGAGGTTACTTTGTTCCTTTAAGTGTAATTGTCTGACAATGTGAAAGGAAATCGGGTATGCAAGCTTGAGGGAGCTGAAATTTTCTGCTGGACCATTTTTTGTGAGCTTTTATTATGCTGAAGTCCCCTTTATAAATTGGAGGAAAAATGTACTGAGTCAGGTCATTCACATCTGAACACACTCCTTCTGGTCTGTTTCCCTGCTCGTTGGCAGAATGCTTGGTGTTGGCAAGAACTGAAATGATTATAAGTAATTCATTCTTTTTGATGTTAAGACATCTGAACAACAACTAGAATCTTTCTGATTGGTATTTCTTCCTGGGTTATTTAATGAAAGGCCATTTACCTCCAAATATTCATTTATTTATCAAGTCACTCTGACACTTGGAGTCTCTTTTTCAATGCAAATTCCCATTAAACCTCCAGCAGCCATTAACATACTTATAGCCATAAAAACTCTAGGAAACAAGACCCAGGACAAGTAACTTGATAGTCTTAAGGGGTAACTAGGCCCTGGGTGCTGCAAACAGTTAAGTGTTCAGCTACTAAATGAAAGGGTGGTGGTTTGAATGTACTCAGACATTCCTAAGAAGAAAGGCCTGGTGATCTGCTTCTGAAAGATCACAACAATGAGCAAAGTTCCGCTCTGATACATGTGGGGTCACTATGTGTTCACATCAACTTGATAGCAACTGGTTTTTTTTTTTCTTTGTATTGTGGCTGGCAGCATAGAGGATAAGGCACTTGACTGCTAACCAGAAGGTCAGTGGTTCAAACCCACCAGCTGCTCCACAGAAGGAAGACTGGGTGATCTATTTTGGTAAAGATTTACAGCCTTGGAAACCCAATAGGGGTCGCTATGAGTTGGAAACAACTCAATGGCAGTGAGTTTTGTTTTTTTTTTAATCTAGAAGTAACATAAGGATCCTGGTTATTGGAGACAGGGGGTCATGGAATGCATTGGACGACAGTGAGTAAAGAAATAAATGGGGAACAGAAGGTTCCAAAAGGCCAGGTTCTCTATAAGTTAATGCTAGTGCTAAATGTGTGGACTAAGTAGATTTTGGATGCTCCAGGGGCTTTTAAAAGCTATTTTGAAGGCAAGTTTTTATTCCAATGCACTATCATTTTCCCAGGCAGGATCTGACCACATCATTACTGCTGTTGCTACAGATATGCCATTTTATTATATTTACTGATTTATCTATTTTAAATGCAATTCAATATTTCTGATTCCTTTCAAGACAAACAGCATCTCATGAGACATTATTGCATTCAGTGTTTTCTATGTTGTTAACTCCCTTTGAGCTGCCCAATTTCTCTTTGCTGCTATGGGGGTTTTGACCTGAAGAAAGTCTAGTCTTGGTTGAACATTCCTGAACTCAGGTTGGCTCAATATCCAATATTTAGATTTAAGATTTGGGAGACTCTCTTTAAGAAAAAGGGCTAAATGTCTAGAAATTACTTCTCCCTAAAGAGAAGACAAGAAAGAAAGATCCTTTCTAAGCTGCCAGACCTAAAAAGGGAGATAATTAGCATTTCTGTATCTTTCCATTGTTAATGGGTATGTCACATGGCAGTAAAGGAGAATTTCTGAGTGCTTTGTATGGAAGATTAAGGATATCATGTGGTGGAGGGGCCTTCCTTGAAGATTTTCCACAAAATAGGAGATAGGTCCTCAACTCCATGCTTGTAAGTAGCATGGGGCATTTTCGCCTGTCTAGAACAAAAGTTTTAGAAACACTGATGCAAATGAACCCCTGGCCCCACCCTTTGGCCGTTGTTGTCTGCCATTACAGGAAGTACATGTCAATCAAAGCTTGACAGGGGAGATAGAACATTTTATTTTGGAAGTCAGAAGTTTGAGAACAATGACTGGAATTTCCTCTTTCTGTCCAGCAAGAGCTGTTTGTCACTGAGGAGATAAAAGTCCAGGGGTAGGGAATAAAGGTTATCAAGAACTGCGGGCAACACAGGGCCATGTGGGGGGATGAAGGCTGGAGGAGGACTTATGGAGGAAATCTATTTCAATGCTTGTCATTAAGTTTCCATTAAAAGAACATTCAGTTAGGAATTCAAAAATAATTTAATCTCCCCAGCCAGATGCACCCAGCTGGACTCCTTGGAGCTGAGCTCTACAGAGGGAGATTTTGCACCAAAGCTTTGAGAGCTAGAAACTGGTGTGAGTCCACATCTGCCTCTCCATCCAGTGCACCCTTGGCTGTGTAGGATGTTCTAGAAGGCACACGTATCTCTCAGGAGAGTGAGAAATTCCACAGCCTGTGATTATTATAGGGCCTACTTACTAAATCTTTATTATGACTAGGTTCCATTTTAAGTATTTTATATTCTTCACTTTGTTTAATTTTCACAATGATCCTGTGACATCTGTCCTATTATTATATTTATTCTTTAGCTGAGGCAAGTAGTTTGCTTAGAGTCACTGGCTAGTCAAGTCTGTCAAACCCAAGTCTGTCTGTCTGGAAATCCCATGTGCTTGAAATCACTTAAGTCTGGTTTCAGATGCATCATATGATGGATCATCCTCTGAGAGGACTCACCAGGACAAGCAGATGTTTACCTGGAGCCCATAGATTATTAGCACACATTTCTGGTAATGTTTCACTCTTAGGAGAACTCCTTTGTGCTTTATAAACACCTCTAGACCTACTTGTTTGAGGAAGAAGTAGAGTTTTAGCAGGGGCTCTGGATAAACTGTTCACTCAGTATCAAGAAGTACCCTCGGTATCTCAAAGATTCATCTAGAGTTTCTTTGCAAACTATAATACTAATGCGACATATTTATACTAATAAGGTAATACATGTTTTATTTCAATCTCCAAGTAACGCTCTGAGGTAGAGACAGATATGAGCCCCATTTTGATGGAAGGGAAATGGAATAAGCCCTGGAGAAGAGGATCTGTGAACTCTGCTCACCTCATATTCCTAATACCCAACACAGTAGCTTACACTTTCAATGAATGTTAATTTGAATAAATAAATGAATGAATGAATTATTTGCAAAAGGTCAACATGACTAATAGTACATTTGAACCCCTATATCTTTTCAATGATAGTGACACTTTAGGACAGAGTAGAACTTCCTCAACGGGTTTCCAAGGCTATAAATTTTTATGGAAGCTTCATCTTTCTCTCACAGAGTGGCTGGTGGGTTCAAATGCCACCCTTGTGGTTAGCAGCCAAATGCTTTTACCACTGTGCTACCAGAGCTCCCAGGAATTGGAATCAATTCCATGACAGTGGATTTGGTTTTTTCTTTTTCTTTTTTTTTTTCAGTATCTGGTCAATGAGGATCTTTGGCAAGTGGTTTAACCTCGTTGAATCTCAGTTTCCTTACTTGGAAAGTGGAGCTATGAAATAGAGTTCAGGGAAAGAGTCATTGAAATAGTAGATGTAAGAATTCCTTTGTAAATATAAATGGCAGTTGACATGGCAAATGGGGCAAGAGCAATGGGTTTAAGG